GCCTTTCCTTGCGGGGGGCATCGCGTGAGGCGTTCCCCGCCGTTGTGCCGGGTGGCGGGGGCGCCCGGGCGGGCCGGGCCGGGGCTGGGCTGGAAGGGTGCTAACACCCGTTACCCGACGCTCCTCGGCAGTGTCCGGAGGTTTGCTTCTGGCTCCCAGGCCGCTGGCTGTTTCTTCTCCTTACTGTAGCTGCTTTAGGCGATTAGAAATGGTACCAAATAGCAGACTTCAAACGCTGACGTGCGGGGTATAGCACCCTAGGCTTCAGCGAGGGTGTTTTCCGTTACAGGAGACTCAATGAGAGAGAGAGGATCGGAGAACTGGGGGCACCTGAAGTCTGGGGACTGTCACCAAAGGTTCCTGACCCCGAGTAAGGCATATTCTTTCTTCTTTCCCTCTGTTTTTTATAATAGTGCTTATATGTCAGTTGAATTTACAAACACGTCTTATCCCTACGCTAGTCCCTTTGCCACGATTCACGTTGTGTCGGTTCATTTCTGAATCAACACGATGAGACTACTACTTTACTTCTTCCCCCCCCAAATAATTCCAACATGCCAATTACGCAAGATGTGATTTATTGTAGATCAGGTGACCTTTGTGGTGGTGTTGTGGTTCTGAAAGCAGTTCCCATGCTGCAAATCAGCTGTTTAATAGTTTACTCTGTTGCAAGTATTGACTCAAAATCTGCAGGCGTGTCTTTGGTCGTCTGTGTACCTTTGATCCTGAATACTACAAAACAGACTTTAAATAGCAAACTTTTATTTTTATTCAGTTCCGATGAGCATACGCCGGTAGAAGATGAAGAGGCAAAATCTAAGAGTAGTTCTTCAGACTCCAGCTCAGAAGGTATTTTGTTTTGCTTACACAGCTCGTTTCGAAAATGGGAAGCTACCAAAGCCTAGCATCTGCTGTTGTTGCTTGCAAGAGGTTCGCTGACTTTGGTAGGTGGAAGCGAGTGTGGTGGGCTCCAGTTCAAAGGAGAGCGTTGCCTTGGGAAGATCGGGAAATACATATGGAGCTAGATGATCTCTGCCTGTTCTCTAATGTTGTCTTTTAAAAACATTCTAGAGGAAAAAAAGAAAAAGAAGAAGAAAAGAAAGAAGAAAAAGCGGAAGGCGTCCAAAAGAAAACGCAGAAAACATTCTGAGGACAGCGACAGTGAGTCGGAGTCTGAGCAGAACTCCAGTGGTAAGAAAAGAGGGTTTCGGCTAATGCGCATGGTGCGAGAGCTCTCCTCCTGCTCCTCTGAACGCAAAAGCGACGCTTTTGGCTTCTGTCGCACACTTGCGGTGTTCTGAAATCACAGCGCTGCAGCATCAGTCCGGTGTTCTTTTCTTTCACTATCTTGCTGGGTTTGCAGTGCCTTTTCCTTGAGTGCTTGCGGTCTGGCCTCAGGAAATAGGATTTCTGAATTCAGCATCCATTGGGCGTCTCATGCCAGAGATATGTTCAGTATGTTCTCGTACGGAACAATACTGCAGGTGGCTTTCTCCTAACCCTTTCTCAGTATTACTTGGTACCTAAACGTCAAATCATCTCTGAGAAGCTGTGTACTAAGGCATTCTGGTGGAGGCAGTTAGTTATTCACAGTGCAGTAGACTACTTAGTTATAGCTAATCATCTCTTTTTGATAATATATATACTTTATTTTTTTCAGATGAAGATAAAAAGAAGAGCAAGAAGAAGAAAAAGAAGAACAGAAAGTAAGTTTCCAGGTTGTTGTATGTAATTCCACCCGCTTTTGACTAGAGGGCAGCACCGCTTTCTTAGCAGGTAGCGAGGAAGGCTGAGCACTCCCTTAATTAGGGCTACAAATGCTATCGAAGAATCGTAATTTGATGGATTTTCTTTAGATCTACAGAAGCATGCGGCATAGAGGACTCGCTGCAAACGTAGGGAGCTGCTTTCTAACGCTATATGAAAGGCATAACGGTGGATGTATCGTCTTTGTTTTGCTGTAAGGCGTTTTCTATGAAACAGCAACAATCTATAGGCAGACAGCCGGTCTTCCCATAGGTGGAAGTTGCCTTGAGAAACTAATGACTTGAGTATGATTCCAGACACTTTCTTTTATCTTAAATTTTGGTAAATAGCCTGTCTGTCTTTGGCTTTATTGCAGGAAGAAGTACAAGAAAAAGAAAAATAAGAAGAGCAGGAAGGAATCCAGTGATTCAAGCAGTGAGGATTCTGATGACGAAACGTTTCAAGGGGAAGATCTCTGGATTGAGAGATCAAGTAGGTTCACCTGACCTTAAACTTGGATTGAAAATTCTTGGTGTCCTTTTCGTGAATTCTTTGTTAGGTGTTGCTGACCTGTGTAATTGTTCCGATAACAAAGAACAACGGGCACAATATTAATCTTCCTCATTATTTGATTGTTGCAGAAAATACAGAAGCTGATAGCTTGATTGGACCAGAAGCTCCCAAAACTCACGCATCTCAGGATGATAGGCCTTTGAAGTGAGTAGCCAGCTCTGATGGTGCCTTGATCAAATCGAGTAAATCAAGCCTGAAGGTTACTGTTCAAAAGAACTGTTATAGCAATATGGTGTGCATCAGAGAGAAATGCTGTGCCAGAAACTCACAGACAGAAGCGGTAGTGGTGCTAGCCTTTACCCTGGCCTGAATTCAGGTGGAAAAGTCTGCTTTATGCTTTTTAGCCTTGATTCCTAGAAAATAAATTGTAAGATGCCTTTATTCTAATGCTCTGCAGTATTGTGAGTTTATAATGTCTTCACTACTGTTTAATCAGAATGGATTCAACTGGTAATTTAAGATGTTGTTGCTAGGGTTAGCCACAAGGAAGAAACAGGGCAATATGTGGGAAAGAATAAGAAAGTGCTTAAAAATGCAGCTGTAGCAAGTAGTGAACAGGGAAGCTGGATGTTTAGCTCAGGCGCTCTCTGTTCGAGACTGACTGAAATCACCGCTGCTTTTTTTTTCTTTTTAAGCTACGGACATGCCCTCTTGCCCGGTGAAGGTGCAGCAATGGCAGAGTACGTAAAAGCAGGAAAACGTATACCCCGGAGAGGTGAAATCGGCTTGACCAGTGAAGAGATCGCATCGTTTGAGAGCTCTGGTTATGTCATGAGTGGCAGCAGGTATGGTTTTGATGATGGTAATGGTTCAGTGAAATTTTCAAGAGCTGCTTCCTCTGTTGGCCGGTCGGAAGGCTGCTTCCAAGCTCTAGTTGAAAGCATGGAAGAGAAGGTGCTCTGCGTGCTTGCAATAATCTACACTAAACTCCCTGCTGCTATAGATAGATGGTGAGTTTTTTAAGGATGCTTTCTCCTCAAGAGCAAAAATTCTTTCCAGGTAATATACTTCTAATTATCTGGTATTTCAAATGAGGAAATGCTTGTGTCAGGTCGCTCAAAGCTGGTGTGTTTGGACAGCAGTGGTGATGTGCTGGCTCTTCAGTAGGAGACAAATCAAAGTGTGAGAGGATGGCTGCACTTTTTTCTCTATGAGTCCAACAGGAATTTCTCTTAAATTTTGGTGAGCCAGCAGCTGACACCCGGGGGGTGGGTGGGGCTTCCGGCTGACTGCCTGAGAACAGACACCCCCAGAAGTCAGTTTCTGTCTCTGCCACGCTCCATCCTGGGAAGGTTTGTGTGCAGTTTGGATTCTCTAGTGTAGGTATCTTTATTTATAAGCCCCTCAAAACGTTCAGATCAGTTGATGGATGGAAGCCGTGATGGGGCATTACATCCCTCTGCCCATGCTGATGTGCACAATGTTCTCCTCCGCAGACATCGCCGAATGGAAGCTGTGCGTCTGCGTAAAGAGAACCAGATTTACAGCGCAGACGAAAAGAGAGCTCTGGCATCCTTCAACCAGGAGGAGAGGAGGAAACGAGAGAATAAGATCCTTGCAAGCTTTCGAGAGATGGTCTACAGAAAGACTAAGGGCAAAGAGGAAAAATAATTCTTTGTTTGAACTGGACACCATAGATTCTACCAAGCGGGAGGTAACCTGTTCCAGTCGTGATTTGAAAAAAGCTGCAAGTGCTGCAGTGTCTCTCACCCATCAGGGCCAAGCCTCAGGAGTGGATTACTTGTATCAAGGAAACAGAGTTACTTTTGTCAGATTTTCTTGGGTGATTTGTTCACCGTCTACAAGGAATCCCTGTAAAGTGAAAGGCTACAAGGCAGGGAAGGCAGAAACAGGCAGGGAAGATTAGAGGTGGCGATGTTCTGTGCTCGCTTTGAATTGGACAAGCGGGAGGATTTGATGGGAGGACTTTGTTACCTGATGCCGATAAGTGCGATTTTTCCATTTATTTTGACTAAAGAGTGGACTGACCGTCAGAAGCAAGCTACTGGTACCAGTAGCGAAAATGAAGGAACTCCTAAGTTCCTGTTTAAGATCTCAGACTGTCTGCTTAGGTATTTTTTTCATAAGCCTTTTAGATTTTTTTTTTTCCCTCAAAACAGTTGAGTTTGGTTTGTGGTTCAAACTAGACTTGTAAATAGAAATGAGTTTGTAATTTAATACAGATGGGCTTCAGTTACTTTAAAGCAAGCAGATCGCAATTGGGGTATAAAGTAACGGTAATAGTAATAGGAGGGTCTGATCTTCAATCCACCAAAGCCCGTGGTGAAGAACTAAGTTGCTTCTTTTTCTCCTATGTTATACATAGGTATCAGAGCAGTGGGGTGCAGTGATTGGAACCCCTGGGTGTACACAGGTGGTAACAAGGACGTATCTTTCAATTTATTTGAGATTTTTTTTTTTCTATGGAAGTGTTCTAGATTAAAACCTTATTTTAACTCCCGTGGTATTTTAATTTGGTCTCTTTCAGCAGCTTTACATGGCTCTCTTTAAACTCTCTACTCAGAGGCCTACTCTGGGTGGTGCTTCTGTGATGGTTATCTCCGATTCAACTGCGTATTTCCAAGCATACCCCCCTTAGCCGCCTCTTTTTCAAATGCTTGTAAAAACGAAGCATTTTCTAGAGGGCTTTTTGTTCTCCTAAATCTCTGTGTTGTAGTTTTGGCAGCAGAGGTGTCTTCTATGTTTGTATAAAGAAAATAAAAGTCCTATAACGTTTGCCCTGGAGTTCTGCAGACCTGGTGTTCGCAAACAGCAAGTCCAGCCCAGCTGCCTCTTCCCCTTTACATTCTGGAACCTGGTTCTGTCCTGCCGTGCCCACCCATGGGACCTGCAAGGGACCGTCATGTAAAGCCAGTTGCCAGGTCAGGCCGTAGTTGATTTTGCACGGATTTAATGCTTTTTATGTATCCACAAAGTAGAAATGCTGATAAGGAAGAGCCATTCTTTCTTCATTGTGTTTAATTGATTCTCCACAAAATACCAACAGAGCGTTGGTGATGGTGAGTTGGAGCTGTTCATTAGAAAGTAGGTCTTTCCATGAGGATTATTTTATTTTCAACAATGTTCTTAAGCCACTTGTCTCTAAATTGACACTGTTCTGGCCTGGAGGATGGAATAAAAAGAGGGTAAATGGTAAGAATAATATTGAATCCAAGTTTGGCCAGCTGAGAGCTGGCCTGTATTGACAGGGCAAGCCTATCTGCTGAAAAAAAGACCACCACCTAGACCTGTGTAAACCCAGGGCAAATTCATTACGGAGAAGGCAGATGCTCATGGGTTGGCTGTCCATGCTTGTGGTGGAGTGAAGCTAATGATAAGCAGGGTCATTTGGTTTTGCGTAGCAAGATTTTGACCGCTTACTCCACCTCTCTGCTATTATTGCCAACTTATTTACATCAAGCTCCGTTTGTTTTTGGTGTGGAGAAGCTTGCTAGAACCTCCCGAGTTGTGTCGGTGATGGAAGGGTAATAACATTTACCTGTGAATCAGCCTGCTGGACTCCAGAGTGAAGAATACCTCCGCAGGCAAGGTCTGCAAGAGAGGAGAGGCAGGGCAGAGTTCACACACAGGACCTCAATAAGCAGAGGTTTTAATTAGGTGAGGGCTACTACCTACTTCTTCAAAAATAACCCGTGTATTTGTACAACATTTCTGATATGGATTAGAATAGTTTTGGTTTAAAGCCTCTGTGAGTATTCTTTTGTGAAGGCAAAGACTTCGGATGTTACAATTTTAAGCTTGTGCTAGGATATAAGGTTTCTGACCAGTGGCTATGAGCTGTTGTGCTGGTTTCGGCTGGGGGAGAGTTAATTTTCTTCACAGCAGCTAGCATGGGGCTGTGTTTTGGATTTGTGCTGGAAACAGTGCTGATAACACAGGGGTGTTTTCGTTGTTGCTGAGCAGTGCTGACACAGAGTCAAGGCCTTTTCTGCCTCTCACCCCACCCCACCAGCGAGCAGGCTGGGGGTGCACAAGAAGTTGGGAGGGGACACAGCCGGGACAGCTGACCCCAACTGACCAAAGGGATATTCCACACCATATGACGTCATGCTCAGCAATAAAACTAGAGGGGAGGTTGTGGGGAGAGGGCACTGCTCAGGGACTGGCTGGGCATCGGTGGGTTGGTGGTGAGCAATTGTTTTCATTTGCATCACTTGTCTGTCTTAGTTTTTATTTTTCTCTCTCCTGGTTATTTTTTTCCTTACAATTTGTTGTTGTTATTATTTCTTTTTTTTAATTATTAAACTGTTTTTATCTCAACCCACGAGTCATCTCACTTTTACACTTCCAATTCTCTCCCCCATCCCACCGGGGCGGGGGGGGAAGTGAGTGAGCAGCTGTGTGGTGCTTAGTTGCCAGCTGGGGTTAAACCATGATACCTGTGGACTGCTAGTTGGGTATCCGTAGCCAGTAAGTAGAAAAGCTAAGGTTCAGTATGACTAAGCGTAGATTCTGGAGGTAAAAATTTATTTCTTTTTTTTCTCTTGAGCTGCAACATATTGTACAGGTGACAAACTTCAGGCCAGTCTGGAAAGGGGTTCTGAGACAGCATGAAGAGCAGCGGGCCAGTCTCCTCCTACTGAGCCCTCATTCCGTAACTCACCTCTGCTCAGCCCTACTTACAGCTGCCCAGAGCGATTGCTGTTGCTTGGAAGGGGAAGACGGTATGAGCAGGAAAGCAGATGTGGGATCCTGCCAAATTCTCTGTTTGTCAAGTTTCTGCCAGTCTCGACAATTTGTGAACTAAACCAGCCTCCAGCTCCGTGCTCTGCCAAACGCAGACTGAGTCCAGCCCATTGCAGAGAGGAGCTGGAGGCTCTGAACAGCAGCGCTTGCGACACAGAGCCCTTCAGAGGGAAAGGACCACGGACGCTACGTGAGAGAGGCCAGAGATGTTTTAGCAGAACACAGCGTGCTGAATTCCCAGCAGCCGTTCTCCCAGGGTGACAAGGGGCTGTTACAAGGATTTAGCTGCTAGAGGAATAAATGAGCAAAGTGTAGGTCCTAGTCCTTGTGGTCTGGTAGAGATGCTTGCTGCTTGAAGGTGAAAGGAGGTAGTGAGAGCGATGGGAAGCTGGTTTGGGTTTGTACGAGATGGGAGAATGAATATCAACAGGTAATACCACAGAGCAAGAGCGAGCTGTGAAGCTTTCCTTTGCTCATTGGCACACTTCATTCTGTGTTTCTTACGGGAGTTTTCCTCGTTTGGTTTCATCTCCTCAGCAACAAAATTGGGAAGAACAACTGCAGCATTAGGTGTCTGCTTTGAAAGGCAGATGGGAGAAAAGAACCCTGAGGACCCAGGCGTAGGATTTGTGCCAAGACATGGGGAAGCATCTGAGGGGGAGCTGGTCAACAGGTTGGAAAGTGGCTTAGCAGCTGATGGGAAGGTCTTGTGCTGGAACCGCTGGGGAGGTGAGACTTGGGACACAGACCCCTGAAGAGCTCTGTGTGTGTGACAGATGAGGCCCACTCGTTTGTTGCATCTCATGCAACAAAGGAAGCTTCTTCCAGCTGCTGCTCGGGACATGCTGTAAGGTAAGCACAGCCTGAGGTGTGGTGTCAAACAGAAAAGGCCTCTTCTGAGCCCAAAAATTCTCCATGGAGAGACGCTCACCCAGGCACGACGAGTCTCACAAGAGCTGTTTGAGGCCCCTTGGTGTCTGGAAGGATTACAGCAAACCCTGCCTAAAGCAGTGCTGGTTTGCTTTTTAGCTGTCTGTGTAGTCTGGGAGAGGTGATCAAGGCTAGTGTGAGCCCTGGAAGCCTGTCTTCTCCTCTGCTTCCTCTCCTGAGCTCCACATTTTTGCCCTCTTATTTCTCATCCTCCTGATCTTCTCTTCCTGCTAGTTCTTCTGTCTCTCCAGCCAGTGCTGTAGCTGACTAGCTGCTGGTAAGTGCTTTGGGCTGGTATTTCATTGATTCCCAAGCTCTTTTCAGCCCTTCAGAAAACTGGGACCTTGACAAGCTCCTCGGGAGCCAAACCCAAGGCTGACCACATCTAGAAAGCACAAGCAGCTGGACAGCTTAATTTAACCACATCGTCTCAGAGCCTGGACACAGAGTGCCACAGAGAAGTGTCAGACGTATCTGTCCCCGCTCAGTGACACAGGCTATGAGTTGTGGTTCAGGACTACTGATTGACTATCAGAAACACTTCGTCCCAACCCAACTAATCAGCAGAGGAATTCAGATGCAAATTTCTGTGTCTGAACTTGCTGTTATTCATGCTGATGTAAATCCAGAAGAATTCTGTTTACATCAGTGTGTTTTCTTTTTCTGCAATATTATTACTTTTTCAATATGGCTACAAGCAAATAGAGGGAATTATATTACAGAGACACTCGTGCAGAGCAGAGAAACGGACTTGGTTGCAGTCAGCAGAAAACAACTTCTAGTGTTGCCGGGCATCCTCAGCTCTCGCTGCCTGCGGAACAGTAAAAGGGTACTTTGCTGCTGGCCTGGCTGCTCTTTCAGTAGACTCTGTCCAGCTGAGTAAGCCTAACTTTCCAGTCACGGGGCTGGAAATTTCTCAGAAATTTCTCTTGACTCTGCACCTTGTTCACTCTATGTGGTTATTTGTGGTTGTTCCACACCCCATGCCTCACAGTGAATCAGTGTTAATGGCAGTGACACAAGATCTGCATTTCACTCTCTCATCTGCCATACTTTAACAAGCAGACAAGTAGGAGTCATTGTTTATAGCGGATTTAGAATGTAGCAGAAGCAGGTTTTGGCTTGGCTGTATTGTAAGTTAAAACTGCTGAATATTACTGTGCTGGGAGGGAAGAATCGCAAGCTGCAGGAGATGACTGGCTATTCATGCAGACTGCTGCACAGTCAGCAGGGTTGCTACAGGGAACTACAGAAGTGGTAGTCAGCAGAAGTGGGCGCAAAAATAGGATCAGTCCTGCTGTCTTTCTGCATTTCGCTAGCGCTTATTATTACAGATGCATCCGTAATGGTAGTTTTGTGGTAGTCCTCTTGGCATTCCTTTTCTTCCTCTCACAGACTCCTGCGTAGTGTATATCAGAGTGCATAAAGTGAGGAAACCAATTCTGTCCAAAGCTTATATGCACCTGTATTGGGTTTGCATGGCGAGGTTTTGGTAGCGGGGGGGCTGCAGGGGTGGCTTCTGTGAGAAGATGCCAGAAGCTTCCACTATGTCTGATAGAGCCAGTGCCAGTTGGCTCCAAGATGGACCCGCCGCTGGCCACAGCTGAGCCAATCAGCGATGGTGGTTGGACCCCTGTGATAA